CATGTATATACATATATATATATATATATATATATATATATGATAAGATATCTTAAGGACGGAACTCACATCCAGGTATGCAATTCATTCATGTTTCATATACACCTTATACACTTAGCCCATAGGTAATTCTATACAATATTGTGTTTTTCAACATTTTGTTACCACCTGTCACATGAGATCAGGTATGGAATTTTACACTTGTGGCATCTAATCACAACTTTCAGAAGGTTGGATATGAGAAGGAGTAGAAAATGAGACATTTTACGATCAATGCTAGTATCTTAGACATTTCCTCCTAAGAAAAAGTACATAAGAGAAAAACATGTTTGCTTAAAATGTAGATTTATTTATTGGTGCAACAGCACCCGAGTCTTTCAAAATGTACATGTTGTTTAGTCTCTCTGGCCTAAAAAGTGCTGAAATGAACAATGTGTTAAATGGATCAATAATTTTTTATTTAGGGAGGCAAGGCATGAAAATACCAATTCCAGATACCAGATACATTTAAACAAGAAAATAACCTTGCAATAGAAGATTTTTAAAAAGCAAAACAAGAAGCTAGATGTGGCACAGTGAAAATGCAACTGGACCCACATGGGAAGGTCCCCAGTTTGTATCCTAGGACCACACTGTACATGCCAGCTGTGTGTGTACCCACAATCCAAGCTGGCTGAATCACAGTATGGGGACCCTCAGAGAGTGCCTGTTTCTCTGTCTCCCTATCTCTATTTATCTGTTTCTCTTTCTCATGGAATAAATAAATAAATAAAGCAAAACAAAAGTGAAAATTTAACTTCCAATATGCCTTGTAACGAAGAAGGGGGGAGAGTAGAGGGAGAAGCATGTACCAAATCATCACAAAAACTAAAGAAATTTTTCTTCTAACTCCTTTTCCACTTTATCCTTTAGAAACCTAAAATAATGTTACAAAAGTATGTGCCAGTCTCAAGAAGATTGTGATTATCAACTCTGATTTCACCTTGAGTTTTTTCTGGAATTGCCTACATCTCAAGAAATGAAAAAAAGAAACAAACAAACAAAAAACAAGTATTTGAGGATAACAAAGATTCTAAACCTCATATTTTCTCTCAAAATACATCTGATATGTAAACAAATGGGTTAGTATTGCTTGAATTATTTAAGTAGGGGTTAAGTAGCATATTGTGAGACCTGATTCAACATGGCTTACCTTTTGCATGTGTCAGCAGAAAAAAGAGGCAGGAAAGCAGAAAAGCAAGACACTTGTCTATATGCCCTTATGTCAAACAATCATAAATAGAAAGAATCTCTTTTTTTTTTTTTGGAGAGGTTTTTGCTATACGGTGTATGTGCTCGCCAGAAAGACAGAGAGAGACAGAGAGACAGAAAGTGAGAAACCACCCTCCAAGGGGGATGGCCACGCTGCAATCCCTTCCCCTCCATTCTTTTCTCCGGATCCTGGGCACACAGGCACACGTGCCTGGTGAGTTTAAGCCACTGGGTCTGGGACTCAAACTGAGGTCAACTACATGGGAGTCCAGCGACATAGCCATTATGCCATTTGCTGGTCCCAGAAAGAAACCCATTTTTACCCATAAGAAAAAGTCGCTGTACATATGAGTACAATCACTTTTTGTATCATTGCCCATCGTGTTCCAGAGTGCGTCATCTTTATTTGCACACAAGTTATTGGAGAAACAGAATGTTTAAACTCCATGTATGATGCCATGACTTAGAAGTGACACCTTAAGGATTAAGTACCCATTTGTGTCATATCAGGTCACTCATTTTTATTTTTATTCTTCTCGTTGGTGTTTATGTTTAATTGCCTCAACAGAAACTTGTACTGTTTTGCTTTTAAAACATCTTTAAAAAATCATTCTAAACATAGCATCACCAATTATAATTAGGAGGTGATATCCCAGAAATGAACTTCTGATTCTATATTAAATATCCTTTTTTTTTTAATGATGCCGTCAGCTGATTTCAGAGTCATCTAAAACTGGCATTGATTTAGATCACTTTAGGCCAACGTGCTGGTCTCAAACAGTGCCCATCTGTTTCCAATAAAGTAAATTAAAGAGCCCATAATATAAGAAAACTCACAGGGACTTGACTGTGATCCCTGTCTTCAAAGAGATAGGTTTGAAAGTTAGGCTCACCCTATAGCACAGTGGTTAAGGGAGCCAGATCCCACGTAATTACTGAAGTTCTAATCCCAGCCCAGGTGGCATGAAAACATGCAGGCTGGACAGGTGTGCATGCATGCCCTAAATTGCAACACAATGAAGAATCGGAGGAAAAAGGATTGTGACATGACCACACCCCATTGTGGGGAGGACTTTTTCCCTCTTTCTTTGAAATTCCCTGGCAATTGCAAATATCCTCTGGCAATTTAGAAAACAAAAACAAAAGCAAAAAAGAAAAAGAAAAACAGCTCAGCTCAGCTCAGTCTACCACAGGCATATTTGATAACATTGACTGCTTCAGTGTTATTCAATCCTTTAGAAATGACCAAAGGGACAGAGGTGGGATGTTGATCTTAATTTCCAACAATCTTCTCCTCTCTGCCACTATTTCCCATTCAGGCCGCAGCTGCTACTTCATAAATCCACTCCTCATTCCCAGTTCCCACTCCAGGATTCTTCTCCCACTTGCACCTGGTCCATTGTCTCCCACTCACAACAGCAGCTATCGCTCTGTTTCTGCCCCCGCTTCCCCTTTACATCTACATGGCTCCTCTAGTCCCTGTGCATTCTCCACACTCATCCTGCAGTCTCCATTTACGCTCCCCACACAAACACTCTGAGAAGTATAGTCTGAGTTCTTACTCCAAATATTGTTCTTAGGAAAATCTATTACTGAGATTCCACACCAAAAAAGAAAGCTGAGATGCTAACATCCATAAAACAAGAGCACATCCTTCTTAAAGGGCAAAGAGGGAGCCCATAGGTGGCATAGTTGTTAAGGCACTGGACTCCCACATGGCAAACCCTGGTGAGTCCCGAACCATGGGGCTTGAAAATCATGCTGGGTGTGTGTGCATGTGTGCCCAAAATCCTGAGAGGAGAATGAAGCAGAAGGGATTACAGTGTGGTCATCCCTAGGGAGTGATTTCTCACTTTCTCTCTGACTCTCTCTGGTGAGTGCACATGCCCTGTAGCAAAAAATAAAATATAAAAACCTGAATGTCACCCTGTGGAATTACATAACCATATCAAGGAAGCTACAAGACCTCACATGCCAGTAAAAACGTAATCCTTGTTCAACACAATGCTGAAGTCTTCTCATTTCCCAGACTATTTGTTGTTTCATTTGATTTGCCCATGTTTCTTTAAAAATTTTTCCAACTGCAATTTTGTGGTACTCTACTATGTAAGACAAGAGGTCAATTGCTGGAAGCTTTACCTTATATTTATCAGCAGGAAGAAACAATGAGATCCAGTGACTTTGTGAGATTTTAAGTGAGCTAAAGTAATATCTTTTAATTAATTCAGAGAATTCTCATCTATTAATATTAACGGATCTGGCAATTCACTTAAATTTAGAGACTTGAAAAAACAGTCATTCTCATTGGTCACAGTTTTGGACAGTGTTTAGCTGGGTGATTCTTCTATCCCTTGTGGCTTGGCTGGAGGCAGTTAGTGGAATGCAGCGGGCAGCTAGGCATCCCTGGAGGATCCAAGACAATTTCACTCATGTGCCTGGTGCCTTGGTGGCAATGGCAGAAAACTGGACTCTACTGTACCCTCTCATCTCCATATGACACCATATAGTTCTTTGCAGAGTAATTGAACTTCTTCCATGGCCAGACGTTTCCAAAATTAATGTTCTTAAAGGAAGAATAATCTACCAGTTTCATAAGGACTGAGCCAGAAATTATCACATTGTCATTCTCATTATATCCTATTGGCCAAAGCATTCACAAATGCAATCAGAAAGTGACATTCATAGGGCCACAATTGGATGGCAAGTATGTAAAAAAATTTTTGGCTACCTCTAACCTACCATACTCCCTTATCTGTGGCCCACAGACCAAATCCAGCCCTCCACTAATTTTTCAAACAAAGCTTTATTAGAACACAGTCACACTTTTATATTTATTCTCTGTGGCTGCTTCCGCACTACGATAAGCAGAGTGGGTAACTACCACAGAGACCAGATGGGCTTCAAAGCCTAAGATATTTACTATCTGGCCTTATATTAAAAAGTTCACCAGCCACTCTTCTATAGTATATAGGTAACTCAAGTTATGACAGAGATAGATAGTAGAAAGCATATTTTGGAGCCTTCTAAATTGTGAGATGGGTGGAAAAAGGGGAGGAGCTCAGACATGTGTATCCCCTGGTACTGTTATGAGCAAATCCTCTAGATGTTCTATACCAAAAGCATCTGGGTGCAGGGAAATCTGAGGTAACCAATGGTGCAGGGCTGGAGGCATGCTCTTCTAGCTGTTCTGGAGAGAGAGAAATGGATAGCAAGCCTCTGGGACAAGACCTATTCTGAGGCAAGGCCAACATGTCAGAATACAGCCCTAGAGCTGATGAACTGGGACAGCACACCTTATGTGAAGCCTGCAAAATCTGAAAGACCCGAATGCTTTGGCAAACAAGACCATGGAGTTAGACAGCCCTATGTTTGGTTTGGTTGGCAGCACATACCCTAAAACTGGAATGATAGAGAAAATTAGCATGGCCCTTGTGCAAGGATGATAGTCCTAGGGAGCAATTCAGAGAATTTATGACTGAGGTAAAGCTCTGGAACAAAACAAACTGGGGTGATCATTAGTCCAGGGACTAAGTCAGAAGTCTCACTCCCCAGCAGAATAATGAGTGTGACATTTCCCACATGCAGCACATACACTAAAACTGGAATGATAGAGAAAATTAGCATGGCCCTTGTGCAAGGATGATAGTCCTAGGGAGCAATTCAGAGAATTTATGACTGAGGTAAAGCTCTGGAACAAAACAAACTGGGGTGATCATTAGTCCAGGGACTAAGTCAGAAGTCTCACTCCCCAGCAGAATAATGAGTGTGACATTTCCCACATGGATATAGACCATTCTACACTCGCCACTCCACTTGCCCACCCTCCCCAAGAATAGCAGGAGATGGGGAAAGTTGAGTCAATTGGACAGACTGTGTTGCCATAAATTATGGAAAATTCAAATTTTATATCTGAATGCCCCTCCCAGCTAATCAATAAGGTAGGCCTGCGATTATTTATAGGAAATAGACATACCGTATGGTCTCATGGTAACAGGATCCAAAATTTATATTCTACACTTAGGTGTGTAAAAAGATTATGCAGTGTATCTATTTTCTATAAATTATCTGACATTGTGTCAGGTTACAAACACACTACATATTTTTTGACACACCTGAGTGTAGAATATAAATTTTAGATCCTGTTACCATTAAACTATATGTTTCTTATATTAAATCTACATTGTAAAGGTCTTGACATCATTGCCAGGTCTTAACATCAAACTTCTAATAGGACTGAAATGAACTCCTTTCTTAAGAGATGGAGGACATTCCTGTGGTAGGTCATAAAGTGAAGTTTATGAGCAGCTTGGCCTCCTTCCACTGTGGTTTGGATTGATAATGACCTTGGGCAATGCAGTGTAATATAATGTTGAAAGGAAGCCATTAAGGCCAGGTTCCTACCAAGAAAATAAAACTAGAGTATTTAAATGACTCCCTAGAAAAGTTTTTGCCACTACTCTAACAACATTATCATTTATTTAACATGATAAAGGATGTAGTGAACAAATGACTGCTGGAAAACAGAGCTGGAGGAGTAGCCTTTAGTTGCTAAGTTCAAGTGCAGAAGACATGGCAATGTGATTTTTGATAAAGGACGTAGGGCACTTATTTACTAGTGAACAAATGACTGCTAGAAAACAGAGCTGGAGGAGTAGCCTTTAGTTGCTAAGTTCAAGTGCAGAAGACATGGCAATGTGATTTTTCTCTAGCAGGGGCCCAGTATGGTTGGCAGTGACTGCCTGAATATTTATAAAAGAGGGCTCTTGGGTTTGAAAATAAAGGCACCTTTCTCTGAGAAGCCCAAATATATTCTTGCTAAGCATAGTCAAATCATCCAGGAAAACCTAGTGTAGGCCATCTCTCTTTAGATGATTCAACTTCCACCCCATCATCCTGTCAGTAGAAAAAAGTTCTATGTTGGGCCAAATTTCATGATACTGTTGTACAAAAAAATAAAAAAAAAATTAAAAAAAGGAAAAAAAAGCCCTAAACGTAGTGGTTAAAAAATGCACATTTTGTTATCTCTCATAGGTTGAGTTAGTTCTGCTGAATGGTTCTTCTGTTCCATGTGAGGTCATCTGGAGCCATAGTCATTGGCAGTTCATCTGGTTTTGGAACACACAAAATGGTGCTAGACCCTCAGTGAGGACTTTCTACAGATTACCTAGGTTCTCCTCCACATGGTCTTTTAGGGGAGTTAGGGTCTTGCAAAGCATGGATGGTGGGGTCCAAGTGGGAGGATTCCAAGTGTAAGTGCTCCAAGGGGAAGGAGGCGGAAGTTTCCAGTTCTTTTAAGACCTGAGCTTAGATGTCTCAGAATTATACATCTACCATGTGAATGGCCAAAGCATTCAGAGGGCCAGCCCTAATTCAAAGGAAGAAAATAAGCTCAACTTTTAGACTTGAAGAGTGTCATGAGCATACAGGGAGGGGAGGGATTTGGGGCGCTGTATTAGCCTTTTCAGAGAAATAGATGTATGTGTGTGTGTGTGTGTGTGTGTGTGTGTGTGTGTGAAATTTAAGAAATTTTCTCATGTAATTGTAGGGATAAGCTAGCAGACTAGAAACTCAGGGAAGATTCGCAGTTTGAACCCATAAACCATCTGCTGGCAGATTTTCTCTTTGCCTGGGGGAGGTCAATCTTTTTCTATTAAGGCCTTTAACTGACCAGCACAGGCCTGCCTACAATATAGAGTATAATCTGTATCACTCAGAAGCCCAGATTTAAATGTTAATCTCATCTACAAAAATACTCCCACATAAAGATCCAAAATAAAGTTTAACCAGATGTATGGGTACTATGGCCCTGTCAAATGGACCTATAAAACTGTCATAGGGACTGATATAGTTTGGATAATAATTGTCTCCAAAGGTTTATGTTCCAAACACTTGGTCTCTAGTGTAATGGCCCTGGCAGATGGGAAGACTTTAAGAGAGGAAGACCTTCCTCCATTGTGGGTTAGCACCATCCAGTGGACTCAGTGTATAGAAGGGACAAATGCAGAAAGTATAAGGCCCTATTTTCTCTTACTCTTCTTCCCACAAGCCTACTTTCCTCTTGGCTTCTTTCATCCACATTGTGATGTACCACCAGAAGCCAGCCTAATGCTGCCCTTTACCTTTGAACTTTCCAGTCACCAGAATAATGAGTCGAATAAATATTCTTTTTTTAATTTTTAAAATTTGCTCTAGGATGTGTGTGCTAGCTAAAGAGAGACAGAGAGAGGGAAAGTGAGAAAGCAGCATCCTGGGGGAACTCATGCCACAGTCCCTTCTCTTTCATTCTCCTCTTGGGGTTTTGGGCATGTACACATGCCAGACATGTTTCTCCCATGATGGCCTCCAGTTCAATCATACAGTCAACCTTGTGGGATATAGCTGCCTCAACTACCTGGCCACTGGTTGACCCTGAAATCTTTATCCTTTACAAATCATGAAGTCTCTGGTATTTCTGTTTGGGAACACAGTAACAGACTAAATTAGAATCCAACTTTGAAACATGGCTACCATATTAGGCCAAGGTCTTTTCTGTCCACACCCTTTTGGCTACCTTTTTCTATCCTCTACCTCTCCTGCCTCTTTGTATCTTCCTGTCCTTTTATTCCTTTTGGAATTTAGATTCCCACCCCAGGTCCTCATCTCTTCTTGAGCCTCTTCTTCTGTGGCTCTATTTCTTTTCTACTCTTTTATTGAGCAGCAAAGTTAGCAAAATATTTTCAACCTTACTTATTACTTAAGGCTACTTGGTTTGACACTCAAGGAATGAAGTCTCCTTGACTGTGATTAGTGAAGCAAAAAGAATAACAGGCTCAGGGACAGGCCAACCAGGGTGGCAAGAGTCTTCACCTTTCAGATTTTGTTATCCTCCTACTTTTTTTATACTTGGTGTTCTAGACCTTTAGAATATGTATCAAATGGAGAAGACTAGAGGAGTGTAAGACTTTCTCTTTCCTCCCAGGTCCAATATGTGATCTGCAACAGGGGCCATCTGGAGATAGTTATCTTTTTGTTTCTTTTTTTTAAAAAAAGAAATTCTTGAATTTCTGGGAAAAGCTATATTTTTAACAAGTAGAAGTTGGAGGGTGCTAGTCAAATTTTTATGGGTAAATAACTACCATCCATATTTATGTGGGAGACTGGGCTACCCTCTGAAATGGATGGATATCTCATGGAGCTTGTATTTCACACCTTTCATCCAATGCCTCACTGTGGGATGAATGCAAAACAAGTATACTACTTTTGCAACTTCTGAAAGCTTTTCCAATTGTAGTTTGCCTCAGGGACATCCTTGAGGCAAATTATTTTTCTTCCTAGGAATGATTATTAAAACACATGCGCATGTGTGAGCACACACACACACACATACACACACACACACTACTCCAACAGTTGTTAAAGAAAAAGAACACTGAATTAATTAACTGGTAGAAGAGTAGACATCACCTCAGGCATCTGAAATAATGACAACATAAAATAGAAACCCAGACTCAGAAAAACTGGGTTCAAAAATACAAATGGATAACTCTACAAATATGTGTGTAAATGCATAGATAAAGTTCTACAGGATAATTACTTAATTATTACATTGGAATAGGGATGGTACTGAGATGATGGGGAGGGCATTTCACATTTTGACATATTTCTGTGCTTCTGTAGTACCTCATACCATGCAAATATTATCTATTTTTTAACTTTTAAAAATTGTGAAATAGAGGGACCAGGAGTTAGCATAATGGCTATGTCACTGGACTCCCACATAGTCGACCGCAGTTCAAGTCCCAGACCCGGTGGCTTAAACTCAGGCCGGGCATATGTGCGTGGGTACCCAAGATCCCGAGAGGAGAATGGAGGGGGGAGGGATTGCAGCATGGCCATCTCCCCAGGGGGGTGATTTCTAGCTTTCTGTCTCTCTATCTCTCTTTATCTTTCTGGCAAGTGCATGTGCCCTATAGCAAAAATCTCTCCCCCCAAAAAATTGTGAAATAGAATATATTAGTTAGCTAGGGCTTCTGTAAATAAGCACCACAAACTGGGTGGTTTACCTAACAGAAATTTATTGTTCTACAGTTCTGGAGTCTAATAAGTCCAAGACCAAGTTGTCATGGTTGGTTCTATACAGCATCTGCTCCATGCCTCTTGTACGGCTTCTAGTGTTTTGCTAGCAATTTTGGTTTTCTTAGATTGTAGAAGCATCACCCCAATTTCTGCTTTTGTCTTCACAGGGCATTCAAACCATGTGCATATCTATGTCCAAATTTTCTCTTCTTATAATAATATTAGTCATACTGGACTAAGTACTCACTCTACTCCAGTATAGCCTTGTCGTAACTATTGATAATTACATCTGCAATGACTCTATTTCTAAATAAGGTCGCATTCTGAGGTAATGGAGGTTAGGACTTCAACATATGAATTTTTGAAGGGGTTGCAATCCAACCCATAGTAGAGCATAAAGTAAAATGAATGTCACATTATTTGTAATTACACTAATTACAATTTCTGAAAGAACTGTAAGAAGCACCCTGCTATGCATGGGTTCTAGCAGGACTGCAGAATGATCATTATCTTCTGTAGGCTTCAGTTCTGCATATGTAAAATAGGGCAAGAATATCGACCTTTATTTTCCCATGGAATTGTGGTGGAAGTCAAATGATAGAGTCTACGTTAAGGTAA